GTCGCTGTGATCCACCCTCAGCCCGGCACTCACACTCGCTCCAGACAGTCGAAAACCCACCACTACGCCCCCATCGATCTCCTCCCTGACCACACCCTCCTGCAGATCTTCTCCCACCTTTCGACCAACCAGCTGTGCCGCTGCGCACGCGTTTGCCGCCGCTGGTACAACCTGGCTTGGGACCCCAGGCTGTGGAGCACTATCCAGCTAACAGGAGAGCTGCTTCATGCCGACCGTGCCATCAGGGTCCTCACCCACCGGCTGTGCCAAGACACCCCGAACATTTGTCTGACCCTGGAGACGGTGGTGGTGAATGGCTGCAAGAGGCTCACTGACCGGGGACTGCACGTGGTGGCCCAGTGCTGCCCCGAGCTACGCCGCCTGGAGGTTGCCGGCTGTTATAACATCTCTAATGAGACCGTGTTTGAAGTGGTATCCCGCTGTCCCAACCTGGAACACCTAAACCTCTCAGGTAAAAAGAAACAGACAAGTCATATTGAGTAAAAAGCAAATAAACCCATCTGACTTTAATTAGAATCTTTGGGCAAGCTCTAAGTCTTAAGGAGTGGCCACTACTTGACATCATGCACATGTGTGGATTTGAAGAACTTCTCCTTTCAGTCCTTTTTCAGTGATTTCTTGTAAAGCTGGTAGAATCATTAGAGGAGCAGGAGAAGCTCTGCCAACCTTAAGTCCCCATGTGGGAGAAGAAAGGCTTTCTTTAGCTGAAAGCAGAGCTTACCTCAACATGGGTAAGAGGAGCGGTCTGCTGCTTTCATTAAGGAAGTGACACAAATAACATTGACTGGGGCAGAGCGAGGTCTGCACTATTAGCAGCAGGAAGGAAGCTCTTTGTAGTAAAAGGAAAAATAAGCCCTTTTCAAAGTGTTAAAGACACCAGGCTTTGATTGAATTGGCTTTTTTGGTCTCTAAAAACCGACCGCACTTGTGTTTTCTTTGTCTGCGCTCACATTTTCATTCTTCTGCTTGATTGGCTGTAATCTAACACAGCAGGTTTTACTCTGGCGCCATCAAGTGGCGACTCAGTTAACATCAGCTTTTAAGAGTCAGTGCTGGGCTACTGTACCGCCTCCCTCTGTCATTGTAGGCTGTACAAAAATAGCCTTGAAAGTGCAGCAGATGGTAATAGGAGGCCTGATAAGAGAATTTAATTGGTTTATAATCTCTTTCTTGCTATCCCACAATAAGAGATAAGAACTTTTAAAGTCATTTTTACATAGACAGAGAGAAAATGCTTCTTTTCTTACTCTTGGATTGCATTATAACACAAAATCCATGTGCATACATACATGTGAGTTCTGCATTAACACCTGTTCTTTCAACATCAACAGCGAGACTCTCTTTAATGGAAAAAAATCACCTCTGCTTCCTTTCCCTCCAGGCTGCTCCAAGGTGACGTGCATCAGCCTAACCCAAGAGGCCTCACTCCAGCTGTCTCCATTGCACGGCCAGCAGATCTCCATCCACTACCTGGACATGACCGATTGCTTTTCCCTCGAGGACGAGGGCTTGCGAACTATCGCCTCCCACTGCCCTCGCCTGACTCATCTGTATTTGCGGCGATGCACCAGACTAACAGACGAAGCCTTGCGCCATTTGGCTCTCCACTGCCCTTCAGTGAGGGAGCTGAGCCTCAGTGACTGCCGCTTGGTGGGGGATTTCGGCCTCCGGGAAGTCGCCCGCCTAGAGGGTTGCCTGCGCTACTTAAGCGTGGCCCACTGTACCCGCATTACAGATGTAGGCATGCGCTATGTGGCTCGCTACTGCCCGAGACTGCGCTACTTGAATGCGAGGGGCTGCGAGGGGCTCACGGATCACGGCCTGAGTCACTTGGCCAGGAGCTGCCCCAGACTCAAGTCTCTGGATGTCGGTAAATGCCCGCTGGTGTCGGACAGCGGGCTGGAGCAGCTAGCCATGTACTGCCAAGGCCTGAGGCGAGTCAGTCTCAGAGCCTGCGAAAGTGTAACAGGCAGAGGACTCAAAGCTCTGGCGGCCAACTGCTGCGAGCTGCAGCTGCTCAACGTGCAGGACTGCGAGGTGTCACCGGAGGCTCTGCGGTTCGTCAGACGCCACTGTCGGCGCTGCGTCATCGAGCACACAAACCCCGCTTTCTACTGAGACGGGGAGTTCTTGGACTGGTCTTCTGACAAGTGGATGTTCTAATATTCCTGCTATGGTGTTGGCAGAGTTCAGCGGCTGATGTGTCAGAGCTAGTTGAAAACCGGCGTGCAATACTGGCCAGAATTTGTCTTTTTAAATTCTCTTGATGGCTGTTAATGCTATCCTTTGAAAATACTTCCACAGAATGTATTTAACATATTTATCTATACAAAAAGGCAGAAAAGTACAGTATTACTCCCCCCCCAACATCACAGTTTGCAATGTAATAACATGCTACAACACTGAGCACTGGGTACAGCTGTGTTACCATTTCAAAGTATTGTAATATCTATTTTATTTTAAGTCATTGTCACCTTTAGGCCCTGAAACATAATCATTGTAATAATTTCTACAGCTATTCTTGAACAACAAGTATCTCTTGATCCTAAACCACTGCGAATGTAGCAGCAGCTAAGCAGATCTGGTGATTTAGACTATAGTCAGTTTCACTTTCTTTGAGTTGTGTGCATACGCACTTTATGCATTTGCGCTGACAATCACTTCAACTGAGCTCAAACTCTTATATTTAGCATTTTGCCACATGCATTTGTGTTAGTTAAATGTCACGAGTAAAGCAAACTGTGTTTCCAAAAAGGCCGGGATACAATAAAATGTAAATAAAATGCAAATCATAGAAAGTATGTTTAATTGTGCAAGGACGACATTCAGTTTAATCGCAGAGCCATGCTGTAATATGTGCAGGATGTGGTTTGGGCCTCTCTTGAATATCATTGCTGATGCCTTCGCAGAAAGCTTAAGTCGCACATCCCACATGGATTCCAGCTCCTTTTAAACTTTGCTGGATGGTTCCTCAGTTCTTTAGCCCAGAGAAAATATCCAGAAATCTGGCATGTTGGCTGTTATGTAATCTCAATAATGAAATCCTCCAGTTCTTTGCATTTTTCATGTTCCTTACTGCTGTTGTCAAACAGTTCAAGTAGATCTCTATCTAGTCTTTTTTTAAGAGTGGTTAAAAACTCTCGTTGCTTCTGAAAGACTCTCCAAGATGCTCTTTCGCTAATGAACCTAATTAGCTGTGTGCATGCGGTCAAAAATAAATAAATAAGAGGAGTGGAGAGGTTCTGGATGCTGAGGCAGGCAGGTAAGGTAAAATCCACAGCACACAGAACATGTGGAAACATGAGGGACGGTAACCATCTATGCAGGAAGCAAGAGGAGTCCAGAAACCATGAACTACAAGGAGCATTAACGTTTAAACACAGACAGGAGGAACCACGTTGTCTTTGTACCAGTCTAACTGCAATGTGGAGTTTAAATGCGTAGCAAATCAATGCACAATGTTTTTGTTTATATTTTACAAAAGTAGTACTGGCTTTTTTTTTTGGAAAGCACGTTTGCTCCTGAGAGGGGCTTTTACTGAAAAATAGGAATGGGATCAGTGTTGAAAATAAACAAGAACACATTGCTGCTATAACTGTGCCAATAAATTTCATGTAAAAATCCACTCCCTCCTGGCCTGCGCATGTTTATGAGTCATTAAGGTGAGTGAGAATATCTGAGAATGCCATATATGGGCGTGTAACGTGCTATTCCCCTTTAAGACTTAAAAGAAACAGCATGCGTGCTATTTTAATTCAACTGAATAAACCAAACCTGTCTATAACCTGTACACATTTGTTAGGTATACCCAGTCAACGTCTTGTTCACACTAATATCTAAAATCGAATCTGTTGTTGCCGACTGTGGCCGTCACTTTATGATCACAGTGCAACCACAGTGCAACTGAGAAAAGCTGGTTTTCTTTTGCTTTTAAAAGAGCTCTGAAGCTGCTGTTGTTTGTGTGGGAGGACATTGCAGCACAGTGAGAGTGAAAAGCAGCAGATGGAGGAGAATTTGCACATCCTGTCCGTCTGTCCACTTGTGGGGGCCTTGTGTTCAAAACACTTGAGGGGGAAAGATCTCACAAAAATTCCTGTAATGGAATGTGAACATGTTCTCTGGCTCTTGCAGGAGAGCTTATTTGCCTTAAATCAGTTACAACAATGAGTTGTATAAAACTAGATCCAGACAGGGGTTAATTGTCTTTATCTTTGGGTTCAATGCAGTGTAGTTTCTAATGAGTCAATTACACCATGTTGTTGAGTGTGGCTGGTTGTTACTGTTTGAGTTTATGAGAATCCAAAGCAGTGATATTTCAGGGATCAAAAGCCTTTTGCAAGCAATTTTTACGTGTAATTCAGGTATGTACCCGATTTACAGCAAATAAGCTGCCAGACAAGAGCCAGAGAACATACTTCCACTCGAGTTAAAACCTTCAATCCCCCCCTACCAGAAATCGATCCTTTTTGCTGTAGTTCCTGCTTTCTAAAAACCTTTCCAGCATTTTGAGGGCTCCGTACAGCTGTTATTACAGATGTACAGCCAGCTCTTTCTGTGGTTTCTGGCAGTCCAGCAGAGAAGCATCATTTGTTGAGTGATGACCTTTAGCAAGTGGAAGTCTAGAGCTTGGGTGAACTTGCTGCCAAATCTTTTTTTCATGCCTCAGTGAGACATTACCTAAACAAAGCCCAGAAATTCAAGATGAACTTGCAACATATGAAAAATCCTTCCGCCAGCATAGGCTGTGCTTTTTTTCTCACTGCCAGATGTAAATTATCATCATGTAAATAAAGAAATAGAACGTGAGAAGGATCCTGCAGCTCTCTTAAAGTCTTTACTTGAAAGCTTTGCGGAGGATAGGATATCTAGTAGAAAATATTTAGGGAACCATTTATGTTTAGTATCCTTTCACAGAACTGCCCTCTGCTTCATGTGTACAGATACAGCCAGAGACAGGCTTCCAGTTAGTGGACATGTAAACGTGTAACGTAATGGAGAAATTACTAAAATAAGGTAATCGTGATTCTGCTGGCTCCTAGGTCGGCTTAGTCATATTTCCTCATTATTTAGGGAACTGAGGATTGTGAGGCAGAGTGAGGTTTTGTTTGTTGCGCTGGTTACCACTAGAGGTCAGTAGAGGTATGCTGATTCTCAGTGCTGAGCCGTCATTAACTTGATACTTATGACCAATAATAAGTGACTTAAAAAAATAACTATTTTTAACACAAGTATTTTTTTTCATTATAGTCTCTTGAATCAATCATTGGTTTGCTGGAGGCAACAGTGTGTCTTTGACTCGTAAGTAAATTAGAGGGTCTGCTTTAAATTTGATTTAGGTTTCCAAATACAGAATCTTTTTCAGATGTCTTTCAAACAAGCAAGGTTGGTTTCTACAAAGCAGTCTGCTACACCAGCACTAACATATGCAATGAAACTATAAGTGGAATCAGTTTCCTCACAGCAGGCTTCATATTCAGTTTTCCTCATGCAGATGACTTCCAATTTGACTGAATGACTGCAGCAAAGACACAGGAACCTCTGAAGATCGTAAGAGTGAGTGCAAAGGCAAGTCGTTGGTGTTTTGTTGCTCTTGCATCTTTGTGCTGTGACACTGAAAACGTAGTTACTGTAGGTTTGTCACTGAAGCTGCCCAGTTTAAATTGAAATGAGAAATACACAAATTTTGCTTGTCAGGCCTCAGAAAAAAATCAGTTTTGATTCCTGAAATTTAACAACTGAGCTTTTCAACATATCGGTGCAATATAGGGAAAAATCACGTTTCCTTTATCTGATTCAATAATGCAAATAGGTAATGTTACCTGTTAAGAGGTGAGCAGATTGTCAATGACTTAGTTGCTCGTCTTGCTCAACATCCATCACGATTCACAAGTTGTTACCTGTAAAACTATGAATGTGACTTTGATCTTCAGCACAGTTTGGATGAATTAGTTAGTTAGTGTGTTTGTTTCACTGAAATCTCACTAATACTGTAGGAGGAGTGGCGATTCTTGTAAATTGTAGACAGATGCTGGGAGGTCCCGCCCTAGAACAAACTAATCGGTCCATCAGCCGGATGAGCTGAAAACATCAAGACATTAAGTGCTTCACAGATACACATGTGTACTATATTCTGCTATATATTCAACTTTATCCTTCACCAAACACAGCTACAGTCAAAGACTGTAGCTCAGGTGGTAGAGCAGGTCAGCTACTAACTGGAAGGTTGGTGGTTTGATCCCAGTCTGCTCCAGTCTGCATGCCAAATATCCTTGGGCAAGATACTAACCCCATGTTGCTTTCTGATGCATCCATCGGAGTGAGAATGTGTATGAAGCACTTAACAGCTTATAAAAAAGTGCCTGTGTGAATGGGTGAATGAATTAGTTGTATAAAGCGCTTTGAGTGCTCAGATAGAGTAGAAAAGCACTATATAAGAACCAGTCCATATAAAGATATAGACTTTATTATTCATTCCCGTTTAACTGCCCATTAAAGCAAATATCTAATCAATCAATATCATGGCAGCAAGTCAGTGACATGATCAAGACGAGCTGGTGAAATTCAAACTGAGCATCAGAATGAAGAAAGACGGTTTAAGTGACTTTGAACATGGCATGGTTGTTGGTGCCAGACAGACTGGTGTGAGTATTTCAGAAACTGCTCATCTATTCATATCTGCTGGGATTTTCCCACACTGTTGTCTTTGGGGTTTACAGTCTGAAAAAGAGAAAATATCCAGTGAGCAGCAAATCTCGGGGTAAAAAAATATCTCTTTGATGTCAGAGGTCAAAGGTGAATGGCCAAACTGCTTTGGGCTGATAGGAAGGCAAAGGTAACTTAAATAAGCAGAAGACCACACTGGGTGCTGTCAGCTGTCAGCTAAGAACAGGAAACTGAGGCTGCCCACACAGGCTCACCAGAACTGCACATTAGAAGACTGGAAAAAACATTGCCTGATGTGATGAGTCTTGATTTCTGCTGTGACACTGGGTGGATAACACACCACGTCACATATCTCATATTCACCTCAAACTGGTGTCTTTAACGTGACAATGAGTTCACTGCAGTGCGCTGTATCGTGTAACCGAAATCCTTAAAAAGTCCAGTGGAGTGTGTGCTAAAGTTGAGTGTGCATTACCTAAACTAGACAATCTGGTCTGTCTGATCTTGTGAAAAAGTGATTTCAGTGAATGAAGTACGTACGAACATGTTAAAACACAAACACCGTATAGTTGTTTATTTTCACGACAAATAAATAAGAAACAGACAAAAATGTGCAAAAAAACTTTTCCAAACATATATAAATACTCTGCTCAACATAAATGTATATATTATATATTATATATTAACTTCTTTCTCTTACAGGCTTGATTCTCGCTGTTGTAAAAGCGCCTGCATACGACCGACATAACATAGTGTAATATAAGTCAGAACAACACCAGCCTTTATAATCACAGCATAGCTCGAGTTTCTTTGCCTCCTTACAGAGCTGTGATAGTTTTGATCTTTTTTAGTCCCATCACTGGGGCAAGACTCTGTTTTTTTAAGAGATTTCTACAGCGTAGTGCGGCACAGGGTGTTTACAAGTGCTAAACACAGGAAATGTCCACATTTTTGTTGCATCATTGATCAGTATGGTGGATGTCAGTAGTGTTTGGGCAGTGCAATAAAACCTGTGTCACACTCGAAGTGTAATCAGCCTATCTTGACAGTTTCATTTTACCCCTCGCTGCCTTTCTCCTCTTGGTAAGCGTATGCATCGATATTTGTGTATTAGGTTCCTCCCTTGCCCCACATAAGTCTCTCAGTGGACCCAGACTGATGGCGTGGCCTCGTTACAAGCAGGACCAGCAGAGGAGTTCGCTGGAACGGAGCTCACTTCCTCACTCTGCTGGCAATGAACACTGATCTGGCTGCTCATACTCCGGGAAAAACTTCCAGAAAGTCCGCCTAAACAATATCCCAAAAAGTCAGAGGAGTTGGTTGAGCTTCACTGCTTGTTATCGAGAGTGCACCGCCTCTGCAGCTTCATGTGGCGCTGGCTAACCTGGTGGCCCTCCGAGTTCGGACATTTGGCTTGATTTGCACAGGAGCAGTTAAGCACGGGGTGCAGTTGCCGAGTCCATGTCATCTGGAAGAATATACACAAAGCATATTAAAGTCTAGCACTAATCCTATAGTTCACATGCTGAATTTTTCTAAGGTTACGAATGGTACCTGAGATCTGAGGACATGCAGCTCGTTGTGAGCTTTGGTATACTTCTTCTCCAGTTCCAGATACTTGCCCTTAAGCTTCTCCCGGTCTCTGCGCTCCTTCCGAAAGTCTTCCTTAAAGACTTCAGCCTAAATATGGACGTGAGACAAATAAAAACAGATGT